TTTTGTTGCTATTGGAATTTCAAATAATGTTTTATGAAGTATCTGAATTGTATGAAATCTTGTTTCTTGTAATTAAGGTATCTCCTTCACCACCTAAAACGTTTGTCTATTTGCTACAGATAATATATTGCTTTTTTTAAGTTAGGAGACGCTTTCTTCACGGTTTCTATAGTGCATTATCGCATTTATGTTTGTAACATGAATAAATAATAACTCTTGTAGTTGATTATTTGAAGATTTCTTCGAATTATAAGTCTTCTCCGAGCTCCTTCCATGATATCATTCCCTGTGATTTATAGATTATATTAATCTCTAGCCTAGAGCACCCCGTCACGGAGGCACCAATAAGTCTGAGAGATGGTTGGTTCCCTCTAGCTTGCCTCCTCAAGATCCAAAGACTGGTTCGCTCTGCTTCTTTTAAAAACGTTTGAAGGTTTGTTCCCATGAGGTCGTGGCAATATCCTGGGGGTTGTTCCCTTCGTACAACTTTTCTTGTAATTCCGGTTTCATCTTCAGAGAAATTACGTAAAATAAGCACTTAAGTCATGGCGATAAATAAATCTCCTCGGTATTTTAATACCATTCAGATCCTTAAATTATCAAGCGCCTACATTAAAACAGTTCATGTGACGCTGTAAGTTCACCAACAAAATTATGTCATTTGATTTCTCAACAGGTTCTTTGGTCGATTTGACCCTTGTAGTTAATTATTTATCTAACCTTGACATTCCTTCAATTGATTAGGAAGATATCTAGCCTATCTTAATCTTTGTTTAACTGACCTTACATCAACTAACATGTACACTCTGTCACCGGATACTTTTAATTTTCGATTATGCATATTGAAGCAGCAATCCGTCATATCTGCAAAATGGTTGAATACTGACGAAGATAGTAGGTATGGAGAAACCAAGCTGTCTTGAATAGATTTGTAACTCAGAAAATGTAAGAGAGTAACAGCATCATCATGGATACACAGATAAAAAAGTTAATAAATATAATCTGCGAAAATTTTCATATTTCACTAAAATTTTAACAATATTTTACTTTCTTACCACTACTTGATTGAAATTATTTTATTGTTTCAAATAACATTCTACCACAATAAGGACAATAGTTATACAGAGAAAAAAGTTCATTCACATCACATTTACAGAAAATATAAATAAATAAATAAAATAGAAGTAACATAATAATATTGCAAACAAGTATATGCAATGGATAAAAATAAAATGAATTTAAAGATAAGTAAAGTAAAATAACACCTTTAACTCAGATATACCTATATACACTATTTACAACCAGTTAAGGCAACTCCAGGCCAAGCTTGTTCCTTCACTTGTGAAGCGAAAAGCAGGACTCGGGGAGATCCCTGTGCTACTTTCTCTATCCTGTCACTAGTACAAATAGCCCGTGAAGATTGAGCGAGAGCACTATAGCCACACATTGCCTATCTCTACTAAATAGGAAAAGTATTGGGTCAAATTTTCAATGTGTGGTCTTCAACAGATCTTTTCATTACTTTCAGATTCCTTTGCCCTTTCCTTCATACGCCGTTCTGAAAAAATAGTCCGTAACTTCTTCTGAGAACTCCTCCTTCAAAGCTAAGAATCGAAGCTTCTCGACATTTAATGACAGTCCATATTTCAGAGCCATGGGCCAGTACAGGTATATATTCACATTTTTGAGGAAATCAAGGTTGCTTCGAATATGTTTATTTAGTGTGAAATTGCACCGGTTTGCGGCTACTATTCTCCTTCCCATTTCCGCACCGTCATTCTTTTCGTTCACCAGTGATCCTAGGTATATGAACTCCTAAACCTTTTCAATTACCTGCCCGTCTATTATTATAGTTTTTACCTGACTAGACCATCTGGGATTCGCATTAAGGTATTTCGTTTTACTGAAGTTTTTCAGTAGCCCCATTTTAGCTGCAGCATTCTTTAGTGCTATAAACGCATCTTTGACAGCCTCTAATGACATTCCTGCAGTAGTATTGGGTAGATGGCTCTCCTTTTCTACTCTTTCGGTAATCTCTCCTCTGTCTAGATATTGTGGAGAAGATCCCGGAAGAAAAAAGAAGCTTCGGACCTCCAGTAGTTCTGCCGTAATTCCATCTTAGGAGACTTATTGTACTTCAGCTTATGCAGTGCTTCCTCAATCTCTTCCTCATTCGGAGATTCCGAGTGATATCCATCCATATTATTCAATAGGTAGAGGATTACCACCTTAGTTTAATGATGATTAAAAATGATTCCTCTAGCACTTAAGTAATTCTTGCCTGCCTATGACAAAAGTCGCGTCCTCTGCCTTGCATGCCTCAGATTTAGGTATAAATGGTTTTCCGCTGTAATTAATCTGTTGGAAGAAATTCCGATGGCTTCTCTCTCCATAAGAGTTTTCGGAAGAGATAAGTCAACTTTTCTACATCATAGGTGATAAATAGTCAGAACGCAGTCATTTTAAGATTTTTTTTTTGTTGCCGACGTTTCAATCCAAGCATGTGGGCCATCATCAGAACCTATTTCCAGTACTGAAGGTATTCAAGTACTCATCTGTGAGATAACAAACTTATCACCATATTCCCCGAGTCAGGTGGAGTGATTGCCTCCTCCACCACCCGGAGCAACATTCTAGGAAAGGTGATCCTAAGGTGTGTACTGTAAATTATTGTATATATAGTATGTGTACATTAGTGTGCGTGACTTGTGTATCATGGTCCAGTTCTGAACATATGGGTGCTGTGTACTAACTCGGGAAACCGGGGAGCATTAATTCCTACTAGCCTTGCACTAAGCCAGCCCGCGTGGAAGTGTGTGTGTACCACACAGCTTTTAATAATAATTATTATGTAATAATTAAAAACGCTTATTATATAGTAGTATGTTTAAATATGGTTTTAGGCTATTTAAGTATCCATCGTCCGTCATTCTTATAATATGTCCAAGCCAACTCATCTTTTTCGTCTTAATGGAGTACAAGATGCGAGGTGCTTCCACTTTTTCTCTAATTGTGTTATTTGAAACGTGTTATATGTAGTCTTGATATTCTGTAACTACGTATCCAAAAATTCATTTCCATTGATAATAGATTTATTACTGAGTCGGTTGAAATCGTCTTTTTTTCTGAGACTTATAATACAGTGTTTATGAGGAGTATGACACCTTTAGTCCATAAAACAGAATTTAAAGTACATATGAACTTACTACCTCTGATGACCTTTTTATCAATTCCTCTTTGAAAGCCACCTGGCTAAAATTTGAAATTCCTCAGTTTGGGCTGAATCACGTTCCCCAACATTTAATGAGGAAGTTTCCACTATTATTGAATGCTACATACTCGCTTTTTGTTTTACTGATTTCCAGACCTCCTGCCGAATAGACTTCCAACAGATCCCTCATCATAAAGCAAGCATCTTCCCGTCCTTTGCAATAATGAGGTCACCAGTCATAAGCAAACTTTTCTTCTTTTTTTCGAATAAAAATAAAACTAAACTATACCTGTTTCGGTATATTCATGATACCTATTTGAAAGATAATTATTAAATTGCCAACAAACCTTAAATTTATAGTGGTTTATAGTGAGATGACACACCAGTTCACGAATTAGGAAGTAGGACAGTGGCACCGCAGCTCATTGATTCTATTTTTGAATAAGTAAAGGTGATCGAGGCCAATTATTCTTAAACTAGTATGTAATTAGCAATTAATATCGAATTAAAGAAAAAGTAAATAAAAGAATAAAAAATAGCAAACTAAAAATGTTTCTGTTTTCAATTGAAATAAATTGTAAAACTAATGACAGAAAAAAATATATTTAATGTAACATCTTATTTCTAAAGAATTCTTTTCAATTATTTAAGGGGCGTTTAGACATTTCACAAACTATGAGACAAGCATGTATATAAATGGTTAATTCACAATGTTTATATTTTTGTTTCTTGGTTTTGATATTTTCCATTTGATGTCAGTATCAAGAGAAATAAAATAAATAGTTTGGTTTAGCAATAATATCGCTATTATTTAAGTTAAATAATTGTGTTTCCCATAGTTTGTGGAATGTCTTAACGCACCGTTTAAATTGAACGGATCAAAATGTAGTTTTTAGTTTTTAAAAATTAGTGTTAATTTGTGTCTCTAAAATTGAAGAAATTTAATGTTTATACATACACAGTTTGAAAATGCATCTTGGTTTCAAAAACCAGTTTTTGAAAATTTCAATACCTACTTCTATTACTTACTTATGAAGTGAAAAATGCTTACGTATCACTAATCGGTTTTTAGTGTAGATTTAGCAAATTGGGTCAATTTACACCCGTCAAAATATTATTCTTTTTCGTCAAAATAAATGGTCGTACTCTAACGTAAACCATAATAATTGACATTATTGTTTTTAAATAATAGATGATGATTTAGAAATTTAAATAAACATTATGGTTTATGATTCTAGAAGAAAATAGTAGTGATAAAACGTTTTAATTAGACTTAGGGTTTTATCATGAAAAAAAAAAATACGTTTTGTATGATATATTTTATTTTGAATGTTTTATAGATAGATCCCTTGAAGCTACGAAAATTATAAATATCAACATTTTAAAATGAATACTCCAACAGCAGTATGTTATAATTGAATAAAATAAATAAATGTTATTTATGATAACAATCAATATATATGAAAGATTTTAAACCTAATTCAAACCGCTACCTTTAATATTTGAACTTTTGAATTATTAATGCGTATCCTGAATGACCTAAAAATGATCAGTAATTTAGTAAATATGTTTGTAGTTGGAAATATTAATTGTAAGATTGGTTTTAAATTGCTGTTTTATGTAAAACAGTTTTTAGTTATGGAATTTTTGAATCGAAATAAAAATGGAGGGAGAAGCACGAACTCTGTGATTGATGACGTCAATTGTAGTTACACTTGAACGTTCGATAATCTGTTGCTCGATTAGGAGGCGATATCTTCTCCTAAAGAAGTGAATTGTTGAGACCCCAATGGATAGGGGAAGTGAAGGGAGTTTCATTGACGTTTTACTTACTCTTATGTGGAGTACCATAGGTACTGCTTTAATACCCGCATTGATACCTTGGATCATTTATGTCATTTGTAATCGGACAGAAGTTGGCAAAATGAAAGGAATGGTAAGCTTAACTGTAATTGAATACTACTGCTTTTATAAGTTTTCTTATTAATCTAACTGAGAGCATGTTATTGTGTAACTTAACTCCAGTAACCAATGCTTTCAACTCAAACTGACCCTTATCACCATTATTATTGTTTTCAGGTGGTGATGATAACAGGTAGTAGTTCTGGCCTTGGGGAACAACTAGCTCATTCATTCTACAAGCGTGGTTGTAAACTGATTTTGGCTGCAAGAAGGGTAACTGAACTGGAAAGAGTAAAAAATGATTTGCTAGACTTAGTAGTTGTGAGTATCGCTACATTTATAACACCAATACTTCAATTTTATTATTGAACTGTTAAGAGCATGTGATTTTAGGAGGATGTATCGACATATGAGCCTGTTATTGTTGAACTTGATTTGGCTGATATAAAAAGTATCCCCAGGAAAGTTAACAACTTGCTTAATACTTACGGTCATATTGATTATTTGATCAACAATGGTGGAATTTCATATAGAGGAAAAATAACTGAAACTACTGTTGATGTTGATCAAACAGTTATGTTAATCAATTATTTTGGGACAGTTACTCTGACAAAAGGTAATTTTATTGATTAATTTATGTGTTTTTTGTACTTGATTTGTCCTATTACTACTACTTTTCTTAATAGTTGTAGTTCCATAGACTTTGTCCTAATATGTGTTTATTCATCTTCAATTGGCGTAATTTTAAAGAAAAATGCCTTTTCTATTAAATTTTTTCTTCTATAAATAAGTAATAATGATCTTTTAGAAGTTATTTCTTCCAATAACATTAATTCATAACCCCCTTTCTCACGTATCATTTACCCTTTTAATCGTGTCCTTGAATATTCTATTTTTAAAGTTAATTTATCTATAACTGACATCGAAGCATATTTCCTCTGTAATTTTATTCAATCTTTAATATTTGGATAGACATTGTTTTGTTTTAGTTTTCTTTGGTGTTATATAATAATTTGCTACGTTTATAATTATATTGTTTAAGCATATAGACGTTTGCAAATTTTAATTTTAACGATGTAATCTATATCGCTTTTATTATTTTATTTTTTCACCCTACCTAGCTATTTCCGTCATATAAATACAACAGTGGTATTGCGCATGTCACTGCCGCTGATACTACTCTCTTTATTTCATTGCATGCTTTAATATATAGAATAGAATAGAAAATAATTTTATTCTGGGACGAAGTCCCTTCAGAATATTAAAAAAGTACAGAAATTAAAATTTTACATCTGGCCAGATAAAAACAAACATAAAAAGTAATGATAAAGATAAATCAGTAAAAAAACAAAAAAAAAAAAAAATTAGTTATACATAATATATACAAAATAAAATAAAATAATCTATATACATAACTCTCGAAACCATACTAAGATACTTAAAACTATGTACAATGGTAAAATATAAATAAACCCTTTTAGAAAAAAATACAAACAAAAAAATAAATAAATAAATGTAAATTCTTCTTAACAGTAAAATCTGTTTTTCTGTTGAAAAAAAAAATATAAAATAAAGAAAATAAAAAATATGTAATTTTACATAAAAGGTTAGCTGGTATCTGACTGTTTTTGGAACAGGAATTGGAATAGGAGGGTTTTGAATATAGATAGGGATAAAGAATGTCGGATTTTGATAGGAAGGGAATTCCAAAAATTAACAGAGCGAGCAATAAAGGAGTTTTGGAACGAGACAGATCTGTGAGAAGGAATGTAAAGGTCAGAAGGTCGAGATCTTATGGAGAGGGAGTGGATTGAGGACTTGAATTGGAGAAGATTGTAGGCGTAGGAAGGACGATGATTGTTGATGATATGATAGAAGAATGTACCTAGAAAATATTGTCTTCGAATGGAGGGGATAGCCACTCTAACTCAGTGTAGTGGTGAGAGACATGGTAGTATCTCGGGGCACCAATTACAAATCTCACGCAACTGTTCAATATATATATAGGTATATTTTAGGATATGATTATATATTTTGGAACAACAAAAAAAGGGTATTTTGTGAGGCAACCCGGTTCGTGGCTGCGCACCTTCTGATGGGGCTACATCTTCTTTTTTTTTTCTCCCTAGTGATTATCAACCATCCCCAATCTTCTTTCCTCCTTCCAACTCTTCTTGCTCTTCCATGTCCTTTGGCCTTTGGGGTACCAATTCTTTACCTTCCATCCCTTTCTCTTTCTCTGCTGGGTGCTCTCTCCCTAAGGTGATGTGCCTAGGGTCCACCACTTTCTTCTACCTCCTTACGTATTCCATGAAGTGAGGGTAGTTATCCCCTGCCATCAGTCCTGGGAAATCTTCTTCCCCAAGATTGTATAACCCAATTTTCCTTTACAGCCAGACCCATTGTTGATCCATTTTTGCACATGTCAGCATGGCGTGTTCCACTCTGTCAGGAATCCTGTATGTGGGGCACCCGATGTCATAATTTATGTCATTACATATTAATTAATACGAATGAAGATATTATTTATGAAAAATGTAAGAATGCCCCACCAAAACTCACATTGACAACGAGTTCCCCACCTTTCTTATGTGTTAATGTTTCAATAAAAGTTGTCAAATAGGGAAAAAATACTTGTATCGTCATTATATAACTTAAACTGACATAGTAAAATTTTACTGCTTTAGAATATAGGCTTTATATGGTTATACATTCAGAATACACAGAATTAAATTGATTATAACTATTAGTGTATAACGTAATATAGCATAAATGTGTTTGTGGAGGGTTGTTTACTATTGCAGGATTTTTTTTTTTATTATTATTTATATATTTACAACTGTATAAAAAAAAAAAATACATCTAGTAAATTAGTGCATGGATATAATGACATGACACACATGTTGAGAAACTACCCATTGGTAGCACTCTAATAATATGTCTATATTAGGAGATCATGGGACCATCTTCTTTACAGACTCCTTGGAGGGTTATCAGGAATTGAATAGAAAGCAAGGTGAGAAATAAGAGGTTTGGGATGGTTATGAAGTTTATTATGGAAGGATAGATATCTGGATTGGGCCAAATCTGATACATAAGGAACATTAAGGTCATTGTGGATTTTACAAAGGATTTCGGATTGTAAGGATTGGATATGAGAGGAATTTGAAGGCTTGGTGGAGCCCCATAGCTCAATTCCGTAAGTCCAAATAGGCCTTATTTTAGTCATGTATATGAGTCTTTTGTAATTAATTGGAAGGTTAGAGCGTTTGTCTAGTAAGTGTTGACGTAGTCGGAAACGTCGAGCGGTTTCTTGTCGTTTCAGTCTTATATGAGGATTCCAAGTATGACGTTTGTCCAGGTGGAGTCCTAGGTAACGAATTTGTTCAATAGGAATAAGTGAGGTGTTAAAGGATTCTGAAGGACAGGAAGTCATTGGTTTACGGCAAAGGGTGAAGGTAATTTGATGGAATTTATTGGATTTTATTTTAATTCTCCAGTTTTGACACCATTCTTTAAGGTTTGTGATGTGTGATTGAAGGATTTGAGATGCAATTGATGGGTTAACAATAAATAACAATTAATTGATAGGATACATTTTTTTTTTTTTTTTTTTTTTGGGTTCTTCCCTTCCTCGCCGTTAAGGCTATACGGGATTTTCCCAGGCCAGGGAGTGTGGGTGGGGATTTAAAAGACTCCCTCGGCACCGGGACGCGAACTCGTGACTATTTTTATATCATTGGATTCATATGTCAGGTTGCCGGGCAACGGCGGTGCAGTGCACACGCTTTAGCCCATTCGGCCACCCCGCCCACTGATAGGATACATGTGTCATCGGCATATGTGGTAATGCCAGTGTTGGGATGTCAGCTGTATAAATTGTATAAAGGATAGGACCTAGGATACTATTATCTTGAGGAACTCCTGCAGACTGAGAAAAGCGGGGGGATGTATAGACATTGTTGTGATTTATTTTAAAGTATCTATCAGTAAGGTAGGAACAGATAATAAGGAAGTATGTAGATGGTAGGAATTTTCAGAGATTGTACAGCAGCCCCGAGTGCCAAACTCTATCAAACGCCTGTTTAACATCGAGAAAGACTCCCGTACAGTACATTTCGCACTCCGATGCAGAGGATACTATGTCAACCACACGATGGCATTGCTGTATAGTGGAATGGGAGGAGCAGAATCCAAATTGGTGTGTAGAATTTTGAAATTCTTCTTCTTCGTTCTTCCAATTTTGGGAAATAATGCGTGATGTCCAGTTTTCCTTGACCGTCATAAAAGATGTCAGGGGACTATGTGCACCTTTTGGCCAACTTCTGCGTCATTTGTTGGATTTGTTCTCTAGCAGTAGATTTTCTCGGCAGAATCTAGCCGACTCCTACCGTCTTCAGCTCCTTCAGCGGTTCTTCATCGCACACAGACGGATTTGACAGTAGCATCCTCGAGGTCTACACTTAAAATTTCTCAGGCCTCTTGGCTACTCCCCTGGTTTTGAGTGACATCCAGTCTCTAGGTCTTCTCTAGTTAAAGGTACTACCTCTCCTCAGCAACCTGACCCTTTCGATTTTGAAATTTATAAAATCAACTTTTATTTCATTGTATTATTGAAACTTCCTTTATTATTAAAAATATAATGACTATTGATGCAAACGCTTCAAATAATTGGTAGGAGAGTGAGATTTATTAGTTGAAAACAGATAATGTGACATAAAATAAAAATTCTGTACCCCTACAACACAAGAAAAAGGTTCTACGTGGTCAGGATGTGCTGGTTTTATGCCTACAGTTGTGTAAAGAGGCCATTATCACATTCAACTGCTTGTTTTTCCATGAATTAAAAGTATCCACGTTTTAGAGACTAGGATTGCTACAGCAGGGTTTCCCTCATGGCTGATATAACAGAATAAATAATTATAATAATAAATATTATAGTGTCAAGCCATACTTTTGCTGATAATGTTTTATATCATAATATGTTATATCATAACATGCTTAAGATTTGTGTTCGGTACATCGAGGCAGTCTCATGTGTCCCACCTTTACGACGAGTTAAAGTGGCTCTTCCCTTCTTTCCGCAGACAATATTTCCTTGGACCTTTTCTATTCCAAACAATCAACACCAGACACCCTTCCTACATCTACAGTCTCCTGCATTTTTAACCCGTGGTCCATTCCCATAAAACAAGATCCCGTGTTTCCGACCTTTATATCCCTTCCCATAAAACTAAGATGTTTAAATATTCCTTTATTGCCCGATCCACAGCCTTCTGGAATTCCTTGCCATCTGATATCCGCCATGCCTCTTCCTTGTCCTCATTTAAATATCATCTTTACCAATTCCTTCTCACATCCCAAAATGACGTTATACAACAAAATAAATGCTGCGAAACAGATTTTGACTGAGGTGAATGGTTGTTAAAATTGATTGAGTTTTAATTTTAAAAATCATATCATGCTTATTTTATTTTGTTTTCTTTTCATTTAAATAATGTTTTTTTTTTATTTTGTTTTTTCTCAAAATGGTGGTATTTTTACTTGTTTTAATATAATTTCACTCAAGATATATCTAGATGTAGTTTTTATTTTTTTTGTTCATATCTGTTATTCATAAAGGACCTCCTCCAGAATAAAGTTTACTTTCTATCTATCTATCTATGTCTACTACTTAAGTCGGCGAGGCTAATATTTGTTTACTCTGGTTCTGTTATTCAGTCGAAGATTTCTTCTATAGATTGTCAGCATCAACTTCCAGAAGGCTCTATGATCCAACTGTGTTTTTCTCAACACCCACTTTCTTCGTCCTCTCACTTTTTTAATGAAAAAATATTTTCCAGAAATTCTTTATGTTACTCCTTCTTCGTGAAATTTCCAAGGCAGCTTCTATCTTCAAAGGTCTGACTTTAGGATGCCAAATCCTGCTGTTTTGTTCTTTTAGAATTATTAGTTTATGTTGTCGATTCCCAGACCTTGGCTTAAATTTGTTCTAATTCCAAGCCTTGATGGCTTTTTCTAGACCATAATCAAAGTCTTTTGCCATCCCTGTAAACATATAAATTATATAGGAAGGAGATGGTCCGCGGTTGCGGTCATAAATAGTGGTAAAAAGGCTTTATTGAAAGCCGACGTTTCGACCCGACTTTGCAGGTCTTCATCAGGGAGGTGTGTTCATCTAGGAGTTTCACTGTATAAATTATATGTTTTAAGTTTATTTTATTTATTTTTATAATTCATTGAAGTAACTTAATTTAAATATTAGGGCAAGTACACAGAGTTTGACTATCAGCAAAGTGTCAGTACCATATAGAATATAGTTTCTTCCATTCCAAAACCTGAATCACTCATTCGCCTGGAACAGAAAAACCTTTTGTAAATGTGGCTGACAGGTTAGTCAAAACTCGGTTGGAATAGACCTATAATTTTAGTTTAAATTTATTCTCTTTCCATTCCAGTAAACTCAATTTACAACTAATTAATATATTAATTATTTTATAATTATGATTCCTATATTCTTTAGACTACTGATTTCTTACTATGGTAAAAGGTTAAGGATTTTTATTAGCTTTTATAATGTTTTCACCAATTTTCAATTTATATATTATTTTACATAGTGTTCCTTAATAGGTATGGTAACCACTAGTCACTACTTTTTTTCAAATTATTTCACTTTGGACTTTTAAAATCGAAAACTATCATGGATCCGAATTGCACTGCTTCACGGCTAGAGCCAGACCATGGTGTAATGGTTAAAATCTACTCGGGATCAAGTAATAGATTTAATACTTTTTGTAATTTAAATATTTATATAACTTTTACATTGTGAATATAATTGTTCTTATTTTCTTATTAACTAGTTGTATATAAATGGATTGAAATGTAATTTTTTTATAAAACACAGACTCCTCTGACTGTCAACAGACCATGTAGCTCGTCTGATTTTCGGTTTTAAATCCAAAAATATTATTTTGTAATTTATATTATGTAATTTTAATTCATAAAAAGACTTTTTCTTCATCTTCTATAATTTTAAAATCCAAAAAATGTTTTTAATATAAACTTATAGTCTCAGTTTGGTGTTCAAGATTATTAAGGCGTTATTTAAACCTCCTGGAATTAGAAACGATGCTGGTTCAAATCTGGCCTTTGTTGGTTGAAATTTTGAAGAACGCAGAATTAATCTATACCTTACCACTCCGGGTAGGTTAGGATGGTTACCCATAGGATAATCAGTATTGTGCTAGAATAATCCTTCCTACACTAGTTGGAGCACATTAATACGTTTATTAAATAGCCTTGGTTTAATTTTTGTTTATTAATTAGCTCCAGTATTGCTAGCTTATTCACACCCATTTATCAGTGTTTTTCTGACGGGTATGATATGTTTAATTTTTGAGGCATAAAAAAGCTTCATTTGAATTTGGATTTGGGTTTTCTTGCTTAGATAATTGGAAGAATGAAAAATAATTTTACACACCACATTGGGCTGCCTCCAGTCATGATTGCTACCAATATCTGTTAATCATTCCATGCACTATCAATATGAATCAATGTCACTAATCCTAATGTGTATTGTTGACAAGATTATACCATTTAAGAACTCATTAACAGCAAAAAGCATTGCTGAAAGTTAATTTTCTGAGATTCAGTTAGTGATCATTTATGTTTTGTTTGAAGGTTTTATCTATATAAATAAATTGATGGAGTAGTCAAATTATAACCCTAAGTTTGCATTTTGTTTAGTTTATTTGTATTGTTACTAAGAAATTCTACTATGTTATCTTTATTTCAATATTCTATTAATCATTATTGAAAATATATGAAAGACACCAAAAAAATACCTTTTTTTTAAAGATTAACTTTTATTCCTCCAGCTGTTTTGCCTTCCATGATAGAACAGAGGCGTGGTCATATTGTAGCCATTTCTAGTGTGCAGGGTCGTATAGCCATTCCACACAGGTAAAAATATCATTGGTGTTATATTTGTTTTGTAATGATCTTTATTTTTCAGTTTTTGAAGGATTGTTAAAAAATATTGACATTTATATTTTGCTGTGTAGATCTGCCTACTCTGCATCAAAACATGCCTTACAAGCTTTTATGGACTGTTTGAGAGCTGAAGTAAGCAAAGATGGAATAAATGTTACCGTGATAAATCCCGGATATATTAAAACAAACCTCTCTGTGAATGCAGTTACTGGTTCTGGAAACAAATATGGAGGTAATTGTTTCATATATTTTGTATTGATTTATAATTTTTTTAAAGTAATCACATGATTGAAGACCCTACACGAGTTTTGTATATAGGACTTTTTATATTCAAATTGTGGATTTTAGCTTTCTAATTTTAATTCTATTGAACTTGTGTAGTTCAACATGAACATGTGTCACTCCAATAAGATGACACTGTAGATGGAATTCTGAAACTTCTTCTGAAAAGAACCAGTTAGGAGTTTATTTAACTTTTTGTATGAGTTTAGTGAGGGGAAGATCATGATTTAATTAAAGACTGTGTCTCAACTGAAAAGGATCCATGTGGTGATCTGTTTTGAATGATCATACTGAGCAGAAGTCAAAAGTTATGATGTGATTAAAGCGAAGTTGTCCTTTCGTATGTGGGTGTCAATATTCATTATTTTGGAACTCCATCTTGTAATCATCAATCTGATCTTCGCCATGTTGGAGTGACCCTTTTGAAGTTTCAGCCCATAGCTATCTGAACTAAGATGAAACACCTTCAAAATGCAATTAAATGAAAAACGGTGAACTTTTTCCAAATTAATTTCTATTTGGTTTTTAAAACATCCATTGCTTAAAATTATTATTTTTTAATTACCAGTAATTTCAATGTTTATAAGATCAGCATGAATTTCAGAAACCACTCATGTCCAACTCTATAATTTGGACATGTGGGGTTCCTGAAATTTGCCATTCAAGTAAAATTAACAAAACAAATAATTGAAATAAAACTTCTATTTTCTTGTTTTAATTCTTTTCCAAAACTGGTTATGCTATTTATTTATTGTCGCATCTTATTATCTTTAACTAAATCATTATTTTCGTTGCTTTATGATATCGAAGGTCTATTTCTCATTTTCATTTGTTGGTTTTATGTAACACTTATATGATGAATTATTTTTAGTGATGGATGAGACTACTTCTAGGGGCTATGAGGCTAGTGAAGCGGCAGAAAAAATATATTACAGTATTGCGCGTGAGGACAAAGAGTTGACATTGGCTCCACTTCTACCACGAATCGCTATCATCTTGCGCTCATTTTGCCCATCATTGTATTTCCTTCTTATGAAAAGGCGTGCTATGAAACTCCCACCAGTTCAAACTTAAAGTCTTTTTTATTTTTAATTGAGTAATATTTTTTTTTTTATTATTTAGATGTGAAGTTTAGTGAAGGATTTGGTCAAGGTTTTGTATGACGTAGATTATGAATCTACTTGTACATATTTTTAATAAGATTGGGATAAATAAATTAAATTGGGGTTTTATTAAGAGCAGACAGTGCTGATAAGTCAGTTCAGAAGGTTTCGATTCAGTTCAAATTAATTTAGACTCTTTTCTTAATAATTAAACTATATGTATTAGTTAAAATGAAGACAAATATTATTGAGAGAAAATATGGCAAGCGTTTTTTGTTCTTGTTAATTATTTCATTTGCTTTTTGATAAGCCAGCACAAATTAATTGCAATTTTAATGAAAAGGCATATTTTTATTCTAGTCATTAATGTTATTTGTGATAAGATTAACAAAATTAAATTAACTAGTTCTTTGAATGAAAATAATTAATTCTCATTGATCTTTGACCTTTTCATTGGTTTAAAGGTCTTGTTTTGTTATGGTTTAGGCTCAATATTAAGACAATTAAAAAGGCTATTGGGAAACTATATGCCATCGCAACAAATTAGAATTATAGTTTTATAGTTACCTTATGTGTAATTATATAAATAACTTATTTGAAAATACATTTTTTTGTTTAGTATTTTGCTAGTTATCTTTTTTCTTTTACCATTATATTATCTTCAATGGCTGTGATTTATTTGTTTGTTGTTTTAATTTTATTTCTAGCTTGCTAATTTTTTTTTATTCTATGGATCAGGTACATAGTTTACTGATAATTTATTGTACTGGCATCAAAGATAGGAATTTAAAATTTAATCAGTCAATTTTATTGTTAAAAAATAAAAATATGAAAGTATTTCAGGTATTAAAATAATGTTATTAAGTTTACTGGAAGAAAATACCTTTGTAAATGTAATTTCATGTGCGATTTATGACACTCATTTTAAATATAATCGCATAATTTCCATTAAATTTGTTTGTTAACTTGTTCTGTGGTACATCCACACACTCTTCAAACATCTACAAATACTTGGTAGAAAAAAATAGTAAACCTTGTACCCACATGCTGAAATAAGCATAGCAAAGATATGATGGTTATTTCATTTGATATAAACCACATATGTTAAAAAAAGAAACAATAAAAATGGAGCAGAAACGGATTTATCTATAGACATTTCTCAAACAACACTAGCGCTTATATGGCAAACAATGCCTTTGATTTTTGTCCCAAAACATACACTACACTGGATCGGCCTCAAACATAAGGAAGCTTCCTCCAGTCAATCCAAATGTCTCATCTATATACTTGAGCCTATGGGTACTCACTATTGTTTGGCAAACTTATGGATATACCTTGATGTTTGATGTTAGAAAATTTCCTGTATATTAGGAATCAAGTAACATATATTCCGTTATTAATAATCTTATACTTGTTAAGTAGATTGTCCATTGAAGTTCATTGATGTTTGTAGTCTATTGGTGTTTAGTATTAACCAATTTAAATAAATAGCTGAAGCCTTTAAGAAGGAGCTTGGGCAAATTTATTGTGGTCATTAATGGTTAAATCAATTATCATCAGCTCCTCCCTAAATTACTGAGAAGTTTTAACTATCCATCGCTATCTACTATTGTTATAATATTGTGGTTATTCATTATATTACTACACTTGTTCCCAAATATTAACAATATTTGCTTCTAAAGGAATGAAGGATTTTCTTTAAGAAATATTTTTCTCTCAGTCTCAGATACAGCTTGCAGTTGATTTCATAAGTGAAATAAACATAAATAATATATTGTCAATCATATAAATGATAAATGTTTTACCCGGTTAATCCTACTGTTTTTTCTTTTAGATGTTTCTTTTAACATCTAAATTGATGTTCATAAAGTTCTGTTTTCTCCATTATAGGTTCTTTAATAAAATTTCAAAAAGGCAATTCTGATTTGGTCACAAAAATATCATTTAAGTAACGTCATCATAGCTATTTTAAAATTGTTGGTTTCTAATATAAAGTTTCTTATTTGGGTATTTATTTTTGATTGGTGGTTCTTATGATTGTGAGATAAAACTTTCATTAAATCCAGAGATGTTTTCAAATCGGAATAAGTTAAGTAACAATACTAGTAACAAGGCTGTAGGATACATTGGCATTAACTACCTCCACTTCCACATTATTTTATGTTGCTTTAATCACAATAATTCGAAACTGGTTTCCATATATTTGCATTTTCGAAGTCTGGGTGTTGGCAAGATTTTCTGAGGTAAATGCATATTCTGTCTGTATCTTTTATATAGTAGTAGATGTGATTTTCTAATCAGGAATACACATTTTTCAATGGGAAGTTAGAATTTATTTTAAGATTTATTACGATTGCTAAATAAACACATTTTCGAGAGAAGGTTTAACTGATTACTAAAAAGATTAAGAATCACTTATTTACTATGGAGGTACTAGTCTGATAATCATATCAAGCGTTACTTGTATACAATTTAACCTTTTCATTTTCTGTAAACAGAAATTAATTTTTAATGACTCATAATTTTATGGAGAGCATTTTATCATTTTGATAAACAAGTTTGGGTCATGACTTCATTCCTATTTTTTTTTAATTAAAATTATTTGAAGAACTCACTTAGTCCCTCTGTTGTGGAGTGACTATTATCGGCCATGGAGAAACAAGCTCAATTTTGAGGACCACAGATCTTTTCCAGAATAGGTTAGATTTGAAACTGGGGCCACTCCTCTGTGGCATTTATGGTTGCTTAAGAGATGCTCAGATCTTGAGCTTTATGTTACCATGCCCTGCCCATCCATATTCATCTTCATCTTTTCATGTTATGATAATCTATTAAATGTACTCATCATCTCCACTTAATAAATGTTCTAGACTCTCTCAGTCGCTTCCTTTGATGACTGTGTTAATAGGTACAGTACTTAAAATAAAATTATTGTTTCTTTTTTTTTTACAATAAAAAGTGAATGCCGAACAATATTTATATTTTATACTTTGTGCACTGTTTTTAGATCTTACCTTGTTTGTCAAAATTTGATTTTCATAGGATTTAACTTTGTAGTCATATGTGGAAAAAAGGATATTAAGAATTATGTACTATCTTTTATCTCTGTTTCAAGTTGTAAAGTTTAATTTTTTAGTTGAAACTTACATGGTACTTAAAAAGTTTTTCATCTGCTTTAATTTGCCCTTGTAATGGAGTGGATCTACTTATTAACAATTGTATTTCTGTTAGAAACATATCTAATAATGTAAGCGACTTGCTATTGAAACAATATTATATATTTAATGTTAATACATGGAGTGTAATTCCTGTATAACTTGTTTCTTCAATCTTGTCAATTTATTGATTTAATTTAAAAATCAGTCAATAAAAAGATAAATATATTGTTAGCTGTTATATAGTTTAATCTTTAAATGTGTATTGTATGTATATATTCAAAATTTAAAGTTAATTTTAATACTTCAAAGTCTGAAATGGCATTTTTTGTAGTTTTATTTTCAAACATCTGTTTTATTTTTGTACATGTTATTTTTGCTCATAAATGAAATTTTATATTTTGCTACAAAATATTATTTTAATTACTATCTTACCATTAAAATTTTATCAACCCTAAATAGCCTTTTTCTTCAACCTAATTGTTTGTTTAGAATTTATATTATACCCAACTACAATAGTTTTTATTTAGTTTATACTTTCGAAAAGATGTAACATTACTTACATATGTTTTGTGTGAAAGATATTATACCTGATGCTACCAGATGCACTCACCCCATTCCAATGCAGAGATTCCCGGAGAGATCAACTAGAGCAGACTGGAGGAGCCTCTTAGTTAAGTAAGATGTCTATGCCAGCATAAAAGGAAGAGTTTATTTTACACAATTCATATAACCTACCACTTCATCAAAATACAGTCCACTGCCAAAATAAATCAAATGTTGCCTATGTTATTTGTCATTAGGGTTATTTGCTTTTACTTTAATTAAATTTGGAAAGTTGCTTAAGCAACATAGTTCAGAAATACTTATGAGCAAATATCATAAAATGTCTTGAAATAATTAAAACACATTTTGTTAGTATGCATTACTATGTTTTAATTCAATTCGCAAAGTTAGTGATTTTTTTCTTTACACTTTTCCAATGCAGTTTTTAAATCAATGCACAGTTTTTAAATCGATGCAATGATTTTTTAAACACATTGAAGGATTCACAAGTCAGAGGGAAGGTATTAAATACATGTAGTGTTTGATCCATGAGGATATTTCATTTTATTGCTAGATATAATCAAAATTATGATTTTTCTTTTCTATCACTGCCATCTTACATTTAATTGACCTCACCTAATAAGAATGAAGTTTAATTTGCTTAATACTAGATCAATATTTATGATATTACTGATAAAATCAGTATGAGTATAACATATTAACCATGGTACTTACATAGTAACACTCAGGACCTGTGACACTGACAAAGTGGACTGCAAATTTTATAAGTGGATGAACATCAAATTTGATATTTTAATATTATGTCTACTAAGTAAGGATATCTTATAATAGGGAACTAAATTGAATGAATGTTTAAAACATTACATTTAAAGTAACTTAAAAAGAAGATCCATGACAATATATTTAAAATATTTATCATGTTGTTCCGATATTTAAACTTTTCTTTTTATAAAAGACAATTGACCAGAAAAATATATCCGCTGTTGACTGGAAACAAAATGGCAACTCTGGGAGACTAACAGAACAAAGATTCCCATAAATTCCTTTTAAACTCAGGTAACACTCATAGATTTTCAGGACAATAATGATCATCGTAATAATAAATGTGAGCATATATCTTGCATTAAACTTTCTGACTAATTCTATATGTTATCACAATGTTAATCCTTAAATAAATTTATATACTAATAAACAAGTGATTAGAGAAATGAGGGACAGGAAAAAAAACTTAATTCAACCCAATCTTTTTTTTTCCCACTCTTGCTCAAATATTGTCAGTTTGTTAATAGTTGAATTACTTTCTTGTTATATGCAAAATTTATAATCATCTCCAAACAAAGCAAAAATGAAACTGAAACCTATTGCATGATATAAATTTTGAAAACCACCCAATGGAACAATTATAATGTATATATATATATATATATATATATATATATATATATAAATCAGTCCTACATCTTATGAAGGTTATACTATATTTTTTGTCATTATATAACTTTTAATTAATATTCCTGTAAATAAAAAAACTTTGTTATATAAGATATCCCATTTGTGAAATCTAACCAATGCTAACATAATCTCCTATTACTTCTTTATTTGATGATGGTTATTAATTTTAGACATGAAAATCAATTCTAATGAACTTAGAAATTGACTTTCAGGCAGTCATTCATTACGGTATATTCATTGAAGTGATAAATCCTTTTTTTAATTGTAACAAAAATAAGCCCCGATTTCTTTCCAAGTTGCAACTTTATTTAAAATGATTACAGAATTTAAGTGTTTATTTCTTATGGTCTTGGGGTTGGGATACCCTCCTGGGGTACATAGTCTAAAGAAAATTGCCTTAATTAGAGAGAATACTTAGCAGTTGAATATGATCCTGGAACAACTTTTTAGCTAGAAACAATACTCTTTCTAAAGCATGGAACCCAAAACTCATTATGGGTTGTAGTGACACAAGTTTTATTTTTATTTATTTCGACACAGATTTAGTTTAAGCACTTCTTAAATTTTAAAACAAAAACGTCTAATCATAACATTTTCAAGGATTACTAAATATTTTCTTTTTCTTATATAAATGATTAGAAAAAAAAAAATGGATATTTGAATTATGAAACTGCATTATTATAAATTAGAGAATAAAATACCTCATTTATTAATTAAAAACTCAATGTCTAGTTAATCGTGCCATTTTAATTTAATGGTAAAACATTTTTTTTTTTTTAAATCAATACATAGCATGTTTAAATGAATGATTATATCCTTAAACAACATGATGGTGAAGTAGAACCTGTTTTATTAAAAAAAAAAATCTGAAGATTGAGAAGGACCTTGTGAAGTCAGAAAAGAACCTAATGTGATATTACTAGAAAAGTCGAGAAGAGTGAGATATACGTCATTTTCATTGAAAATGATTGAATATACATAAAAAAAACTTGCTATTCCTCTTGAGTATTCCTCCTCACTACAATTCCATAACAAGCTTAAGTATGATTTTTATAACTAATTATGACCATTACTGGGTATGACATATGGAATATTCCATATTAATCAAAAGATAAAAAACCTTCATGAATTTCAACTCTTGGAAATTTAACCTGTAAATCTGCCTGGTTACATATATAGCCTCATTAAGATCACATATTACAAGTTAATACTCAAAATAACAAATAGACACAGGGTCGGAACCAGCATCATGGCCAGGAGGACATGCTTAATTTCGCCGCCTCTTCTTTTACTACCCTTCCCGTTAATACTTAACAGTTTTACAGTATTTTAAGCAATATATTTTTAAATAAATATTTTATAACAACAACTGATTTATGGACCAAATTAAGGTAATTAATCGAAAAGTAGAAAACTATTATTTATCCTAGCAATAACATTTTGCTTGAAAATTGTAAACCCCTAAATTCTGCTACCCAGAGAAAGAGCCTCTTAGCTCACTAGCCAAGATCCCCAATATACATACTTAATGTGACCAATTTTAAGGGAAATTCCGATAAATACTTCTTTTAACATATAACAAAATGTTGAGAGTATATTAAAAAAAAAAAAGTTTTTTTTGAAGTACAAGACTTTTACTTTCTAGAATAACATGTAAATTATTACTCAGATCTGGAAAGATGTAACTATAAATCAATAACTCACATGAACTTGAATAAATAAAAACCCATATTAAAACCAAAACTTTAAGTTATTACTTGCCTTGGAATAGATTTATTGTCAACGATATTTACAATCATATTTATTATTCTTACAATTAGTATTGCTCATAAAAAAATAGAACTACAGTATTAATAAGATTTATATACAATAATTTACAAACAAATTTTATAACATTACAGAGCAATATATATATATAATCCTATTTCCTATTAATTACTTTGTTTGTCTACTAGTCCTAATAGAAGTATCTTTAAAAGCGTTTCAAATGTTTATGACTGACACAGTTTATTAATTTGTATCAAACTCTTGACAGATAATACATGTCTGAATGCGATGAACTTTAGCACATTCATCCTAATTTTTTTTTTTTTCAAATATGAAAAACCAAGAGAAAAGTAATATTATAATTTAATTTGGTAAGGATATTATCTGAATATGCCAGGTAAATAAAAGACACTAATTGAACAAGTCAATCAAATAAATTCAAAACATATTAATGGTAAGGACAATTTTAACAAGAAATTTCCACAGAAGACCTAAGTGTTATGTTATCCTATGTAAGGTGACTGACATCTTGAGATATCTACACAACATTAAATTGAAATTTTTAAATTCATCTCTTCAGACTAATTTAAGGAACATATACATGAGAAATATACGTGTACAATCTCAATAACTTTTAATCACTCAATATAAAAATAAATATTCAATACAGCTTAATAAGTTTAAAAGTAAATCTCCATAATCATTAGGCTGCCTAATTAAACAACATATTAAATCATGTTTTCCAGAAAAAATAATTTAAGGGGCATTAGTGGATCACTTATATTTAAAATAGTATAAATTTATATCATCCACAATGTGTCGGCTGTGGAGATATAATGGCAATGCTAACCATCTGTTTGAGCAAATTACATATTGATTTAGTATAAAATAACAAAGGAAAAGTTACAATTGATAGTCAATTTTATGTCACAATATAAACCTCTTGGACATATAAAACAGAAATATTAGTAAAACACAGAAGTGGCCAAAATAATGATGTGAATGTTGAGAAAAACAATTATGCCACATGCCACTATAAATAATAAAATCTAATTGAATTTATTTAGACAAAAATATCACCAATTAAAAATATAAATAATTGATATTGAGACAGCATCCAAAATTATTTAGCAATACCAAATCCTTCAAATTAAAGAGCTTGAAAGGAAGAGCAAATGAACACTATTTTCTATTTTTTTTTATTCAAAACATATTTACAATAAGTGTTTTATAAAACATTAGATTAATCCAGTAAAAACTTGTCATGGATCGACCAATTGAATTTTAATTAAAAAAATATTGAATAAAGAGGGAGACATAAGTGGTTAAATAACACAAATATGTTCTGTTTACAACAAAATAAAGAGTTGCTTACAATAAAAACAGATAGTCTTGCCAAGATATCTCACCTATTCTAGAATGGAATTACGGTACATTTAGAACTAGGATTTGATAAGACAGTGCTGTCAGTTATTAAACAATTTACAAAGTCTCCATGCACAAAGAATACTCGAAGCTAACATTACTGTACAATGAAGGATCTTACGGTTCCTATCATCTTTTCTAACCAGAACTGTTGGAGAAGCTGAAGTAATAGTATTAAAGAAGGGTAGTCTAGCCAGTCTTTGTGAATCAGTATAAACTTGATACTTAACACAAGGATCAAACTGCCATGAAACTGTGTAAAGGCCAGTTGTAAAAAAGGATATTACACCAAAAGGCATATAGGAGTAGGGGTATTTTGGCCAGATAAAACCTGAAAATTAAAAATTAATTAATTTTGAATTCATAAAAAGTGCAGCAATTTAATAACGCCCCATGAAAACATACCACAAATAATTGCACTCACGCCTGAAATCACCGCAGTTTTATGTAAACAGTTTCCAACTGCTATCCACCTTGCAGTTTCATCTCCCAATCTGGGAGGTTCAATTATAATAAATTTACAGCCTGATTCTAATGCACGTTCTAATTCATCAACAAAGGCTTCATGAGCATTCTCACTATCGTAAATTTCTTTGATCACCGCTGTTTCAGATGGATCACTAAAAATAAGCAACAGAGAAATGCATTTTTAGTGAAATAAGACACTGCATCAAGAAAAGATATATCAATCAAACATGAATAAACGATAAAACTATTTGTATCCAGAAAACTACATATTAAAAACAAATGGACTTACGACTCATTTATGGACATTTTACAGGAAGGTTAGAATTTACTTTGGAATACCTTCTGATTTAGGAAACGACCTTTTGACATACAACAAAACATACAGTAATCTCCTGTTGATCCTATTTTCGAAAAGAAAATGAATTCTATGGACAAATTTGTAATTGCTAAGATTAAATATAGAAATTGACTAAACTAACATTATTTTGAACCATTTATGCGGTTTTCAAGGTCGTTTCCAACAGCTGATCATTCAAATAGCTGTCAAGCTCTCAATGACTTACGTAGTTACTGGTCTTTGAATTTATTTCCAATTGAATTTACATTTTCAGAGAAAATTTTATTAAATATTATTAGTGAAAAAAATAAAACATACAGGTTTCACAAAAAATCATAAAATGTTTGATGTAAATGAAATTAAAAAAAATTTGCTTAGTAGAAAAATAGAAAATAAGGTAAAATTAAAAGGATTTTTTTGTATTTAATGCAGCAACAAGTTAATGGTTATTATTATTATTTTTGATTAACTTATAAAAGTAAAAAGTATTTTATTTCATGATATTCTTTTAAAAAATGCATTTAATAGATAATTTTCTTTAAAATAGTAATGAGTAATTATGTATGGTACATAGAATTAATAATATACATTCATTTATAAATAAAGAATGAACAATACATTCAATATATGTTTGATATTATCGGATATCTTTTTATACCCCTTTTTTACCTGATTTTTAATAAGTAATCTAATAAAAACTAGGCTTTTAGAGGGCCAAGTAGAACATAATGATGTTGAATACAATTTTTTGTTTAGAATATATTGTTAGTAGTGAAATTAAAATATAAAATAATGCAAACAGATCCATACTGAAGAGTATGTTTAGAAGTAAACAAAATAGATTTCACAGTGCACAAAAACAAAATAAATTGTAATCTTCTAACAATAATGCACATTTATTTTTTTATTTATTGATATACTTATAATTTTTTTTATTTGCTTTCTAGTTTGATTATATGGAAGCTCAGTTTTATTATAGAAGCAGTCATTAATAAGTTAGTCAGATCATGCAAAACAGAATTGGCAATAATGGGTTTTGATTAATAAAAGTTTGAAAACATCTACAACATTATCTCCATTGAAAATGCCATCAATCATTAAAGTCATCAATATTTTAAAATTTTCAGTACTATCTATATTACTGTTAATGAATTGAGATTCTACCAATAATTTAATATTGAAACATATAATTTATTTTAATATAAATTATAGAAAGCACCAATGACCCTTTAGGGTAGAGGCGAAAAAAGGAGGAGAAAATTTATTTTAAATAATTCCATAAATAATTTATCCGTTTTTCTCATGCTCCATTACCAGATAAATAAGCGTGTCTGATAAGATTTAAGTGATCTTAAACTTCCAAAATTTGTTATATTCAGACAAGAATAGGAACATAAAATAATAATAGTAATATTTGTGTATGTACATGTATAAATATGTATCACATAATAATATCATTTATATTGGATTGGCAAATAAGTCCTTTTGATTTTTCGGAGTGAAATATAACTCAATGTATTATAGATATAAAATTTATTTTAATCTACAATATATTGACGATTATTTAATATAACTTTTTCCCATCTTTTCACTAACTGCATAATGGCATGTTCATAGAATGTCTGTAGTTTATTGTTAAAAATTTGATCCAAGTTGTTTTTGATGTCCTCTTCCTTTTGGAATTTCTTTCCATTCATGGAGTTCTGCAGAGAACAGAATAAGTGGTAGTCACTTGGAGTTAGGTCTAGTGAATAGGAAGAATTGAGCAAGAGGTCCCATCCAAGGCTCAATAATCATATTGATCAATTCCAATCATTCATAACTCTTCAGAATGTTCTCCAAATTTGATGTTACTATATCCGTTGGAAAGCTGAATTATTGTTCTTCAAAACCACATAAATGTTTTTTTTTTTATTTAATAGGTTTTTACTTTTTATCTCCATTTGTAGTTTATTGACGAAGGTCCTGTTGATGTCATTTTGTGTAGTTTATGTGGCCCTGAATTACTGCTAAATTCCTTCCATATAGGTAAAGTCGTATTGCAGTTATAACATTTTTGTGATTTTCGAAAAAAATCATGTTAGGGACCCAAACATCAAGTCTGGAACATAACTGAACTTGTGCAAATGGTTTTCTACACTTGTGTGTGACATATTTAGGGCCATAGCAATCTCTCACACTGATTGGGTGGGATTTTGATCGACAATGGCCTTAACATTGCTCGTTTCATATCATGTGGGCGACCAACCGTTGAGCATCATTGATGCCAAAATTTCTTGAATGAAATTTGGCAAAAAAAATTTGACAGATGCGTTCGGTTAAGGCATCATCCTCATGCAAATTCTTTTAACTTCTGCAGTACGCTTACCTTTTTTAAAATAATACTACAAAATATACTGATAATGAATGGTTTTTCTTTTATATTCACAGTGCAATAGCAAACACAATATTATGCTAGTTTCAACAAGAGTTAATAGATATAGTTGTTAACATATTACAAACAGGATAAACAATCCACCTTAGGGACTAATTCATCAGATAAGAAGTGTATCATAGTGACATAAAAATAAACAGAAAAACCGAAAGGACTTATTTGCCAACCCAATACAATTCAGTTTAGTTAATAGATTGAATGATATATTTTAATTTCATTACAAATAATATATCTTAAGACTTACTGATGACATTCATAAACCAATGATTTATTACAATTTCAGATATCAGCAGCCAAAAGACTATTCAGATTTCTAATGAAAAATCGTTCAAGAGAATCCCGTGTATTGTTAATAAATGCTGATATTATTGAAATGATATGTGAAGCATCATGTACAACTAATATTGTTTTACTAAAGTGAGGAATTTCAATTTCTTTAAATCAGATTGTTTTTATGTTTTGAAATTAAACATTATGTATGTTACAGGTACATTTTTAAGTGCATTTCTGTATTCATTGAGTGTGCCGAATTCTTTGGACAAAATCATACAAGTTATACAATGGAATCAATCATTAGAGCTCTGTACATATTACTGAAAACGCAGAGTCCAGACAATGTAATAATTCTAGGATTAGAATTAGTTTCTGATATTATATCAAGGCAAGCGCTAAAATGGTTTAATTTTGATAAGCATTTTAAATATATAGTGATTTATTGATATATTTCACTTTTTTTTTAGATTAAACAAACAAAATATTGCAGTTAACACAATATGCAATTTACCAAACATCGTACATTTATTGAGTAAAGTCGTGAATTCTGAAAACAGTAAACTAAATGTTTATGCTGGGACCGAAGTAATGATCAGTTTACTGCATAGCCAAGGAATGCTACAATTTAAAAAGATTGTGGAAGATACAGTTTTAGACTCATTGAAAATACTGGTTAACATTGCTACAAAATGTAAAGACAAAAAATGTATAATAATCTTATCTATAGTAGTGAATGGATCTATGAGGTATATTTTGAACAAACAATTTGTTTTAATCTTTCTGTTTTATAAAACTAATATATATTTATTAAATTTTATAGATTTCTGGTTCAACCTAAAGTTGAAGCCACAAGCGAAAGTTCTAAGCCTTTGCTATTTTTAGAGCTAGTTTCAATCATGAAAACAATTTTGGTCCCATTTTTAATTGTATGTATTTCTTTAAACTGATACAATAAACTTCCATACATCTTATTATAAAAAAAAAAAAAAAAAATTCATTAACTTTCAGTAACGTTAAGATTTTCCTTTTTAAGAATAAAATAATTTGAGTTTTGTATTCTTGGCAGGAAAATGAAGACAAATTGCACGAAAATGATATAGGGATGGCACAAGTAATTCTATCAGCATTACTCAGTATATATCATTTTCCAGAAGAACCTGAAACAAAAGAATTTTCACATTTTTTAGCATTTAAAGGATTTATAGATTTTTTACCATTGCTTGAAATACAGAGCAAGTATGCGACCTTTTTTATTAATAAATTTATCATAATTGTCTTTATCAACAAAATTAAAACTTTAAATTACTAAAGAAATTTATCCATTATTTATCCAACTTGAACAATAGAAAGTTTGTAACTCTAAGCTCTCATCAACATATATATATATATATGTGTGTGTGTGTGTGTACATATCATCAATTTAAAGAAGTCAATAAGTAAATTTCTGATGGTGCTACATTTTTATATACTTTTAACTAAATAATGTTTTTATAAACTTTGACATTATTTTATATTAAGTACATCAAAATGGCACAAACCATTTTATAAATAAAAAATATTTACTGTAAGTACAAAATATTCTAATTTTTCATAAGAAAATTTCAACAAAATCGTTATTGATTTAATTTAAAAAAAATTTTGTTAAAATGTTTTCAAAAAAATATTTCTTTATTAATCATGATTTTACTTTATCTCTAATATTAAGTACCAAGGAGGTTTGTTAATTAGATACAAACATTTTTATGATTTGGATTGAAATGTGTTTCAGAGTCCTCTGAGTTCATAAAAATGATCTACAATAAAAGTGAATGGCATACAAAGCAACAATGATTTTCACAGTTATTATACATTAAAATAAAAATAGACAAATAAATAAGTACAAAAAAATCCTAGTGAATAATATTTTTGTGTCATGCCAACTTCTATTACTGAATTCTCAACTAAAATTATTTATCTGGGCCAAACGCAACATAGAAATAACTTAATAATAATATGAAATATAGTACTGTTCTTGTCTAAAATATTTTTTTTTTGTTTTAAAACTTTGTGAAGCATATTTTTACCTATTTCTTTTGAAGCTGTATTAAATTAGTGTAATGAATTCCAAGAATTTTCTGTCAATTTTATAATGAAATATCAGAATCATGATAAAGTTTGTAGGAATAAAAACATATGGGAAGAAATATTAAAATGTTTACTAAAAACTTCTGAATACTTAATATGTATTTTTTAAAAATAAAACTATTAATCAGTATTTTAAAAATTAAGATTTTTTTATTCTTCTAATGTATGGAAAACATAATAACCCTATGTTTTCCACTCTAATATATAAAATATTTCCCTAGAAATTCAGGAGAAAAATTGGAACAAAATAAAAAAATTTTTCTCTCATGACCTCCAGTGAGACCATATATTTGATATGTTTTACATATATAAATCCTTTACAATTAGTTATAATAAATTATCTTACATTTTACAATAGATACGGCTAAAA